TGCTACTGCTACTGCTACCGCTACGGTTGGATCCCCAAATTCCCCAAACCCTGAACCAAGAGCAGGTCAGTCGCCTGCAGCATCATGTTTGCCGATTGACAGCTCTCCGTGAGTTTCCACCAAACATCTTTATTAAACTCTCAGCATCGTGATATTCATCCCACATTGAGAAGTTCGAAGCATACTCTTATGGTTCAGCATCGCAGGTTTCGGGAAAGCTTGCAGCTGTTTAGACATTGTTTAGACCCCCGTACCGAAGCCCTTCGTTGTCCTCGTCGGGTTAGGGGTAGGTGTCGTTGCTTTTCCCCGTCGAGTCGTTCGTCTGCTCGCTCGTGCCCTTACTTAACTTAACCTTGAAACCTTTGCAGCTTGAATCCTTGAGTCCCTAAGGAAACTGTGCGAGCCCACCGTGTGCAAATGCCCACTCCCGTGCAACAATCGTTTGTGTGCGAAGCTGCCGCGCTTGGTGGGCATCATTTCGGTGAAAAAATCCGCTGCGGTCAACCCGCAGATCCTTGTAGTGCCCGAATCTGTTGTGTTTCAAGGCGTAACCCTACATCATCGAACATGTTAGTGCCAGAGCGCATCGTCCGTGCGCGAATCCACCGCCGCATAGCGCGAATGCTTGGTGCGCGAATCCAAAGGCAGAGCCCCTCGTGCGAATCCCCGATACATGAATCCAGGTGTTCCAGCGCGCGAATCACGAGCCACAAGACCAGTGTGGGAAGCAACTCTATTTCTGTTTCATTCGGCAACGTCGTACGATGAGATCTATTCATGAATCTTGCCGCGACAGCACTCGTCGCCAGAAGCTCTTGGACACGGGCGATGTGGTGATCGCAGAAGCTACGACGAAAGATAAGATTTGGGGCATCGGTCTCGATGTTGGGGTCGCGTCCTGAGCATCGTGCTGTCTTTCACGTAGTATCGCATCCTAGGGAGCTTGTCCGCTGATTGTCTTGTCTCCTTGCAGCCATCGCAGCAGGACGCGAGGGTGCAAAACCCAGCTCTCTGGCAGGGGCAGAACATCCTAGGCAGGGTTCGCGGAAACTTCACGGAGTGATGGCTCTAGCTCAGTGGTGTGCTCCTCCGAGGTGAGGCTTTGATGAGGACCCCCGAGCAAAGGCGTAACTTGTGAGAGAGGCTGATGCTGTCTCCTGTCCTGTGTCTGAGGACCCGCGAGCACTTGCGCAGCAAGGTGGAGGCATCAGGATCCTCTGTAAATACCGGCAACGAAAGGACCTCCCAAGGTGTGGAGGAGCCGCCGAAGAAGCGTGCCAAAGGCTCTCAGCCACCGACTGCGGAGTAGCAGAGCGAAAATCGGCCAGCAGTTGGGAGATGCCAGAGAGACATGTCAAGCTGCACAGATCGTAGTCAGGCCATTTTGTTTGGGAATGCTGCATTCATCTCGGACTATGCGGGCATTTGTGTTCCAGTTTAGAGTTCGCTGTGTCATGTCACGTGAAGCTGCCAACTCGGGGCAGCTCCTGCCGAAAGCATGGCGGGGCCCACAGCGATGTGCCGCATGATCGTCATGTCCTGGTGCTGGAGCCTTCGCTAAGTCTCCGTGGATTCGTTTTCGGAGTTGTTGACAACGACATGTTCTGTAACTCCTACAATAACTGCGTGAAGCAAGAACTTGTCTTTCAGGGCCTTTATTGGCCGCTAACTACAGCGCAGTGTACTCACTTCACATGTCGAGCGACACGGCACGGATTGCAAGGAGCTTCTTGGCCGACTACTTGTGGTTGCCAGCCTTGGCCTATGCAGCAGATCAGGGTCATGGACCTTCGTTTCTGGGCTTTGCCTTCGCCCTGAACCTGGGATCCCGTCTGATTCCCAATGTGGCCGTGACTAAGTTAGGTCGCAAGGCAGAGTTCCCGATGATGGTGCTGGTCATTGCCGGATACTCTACGTCTCTTCTGCACCCGACTCAAGCATGGGCATTCTTCTTCATGGCATTCTGCTCCGGCTTGGGGTTTCTGCGAGTGTGTGTGACGCTGCACATTCAAGCAGCATTTGCCGAGTCAGAGCAGTTTTGCACTGTCTGCAAGTATGCGGGAGCTTCGAAGAATTTGGGCAGCATTTCGGCCATGATCTTGCCCATCCTCCTCTATCAGCAACATGGATGGCGGGCCGTCTGCCTCGGCGCTTTGGCAGCGGCGGTGTTGTACCTTTTCTTGTCGATCCTGCAAAGCCTGCAGCAGGCCTCGGTGTCGGAGCTCGGGGTGAAGGCCTGGCTTGTAGCAAAGACAAAGGCAGGGCCTTTGAATGATCAAAGCGTCTTGCATCGACTCTCAGGACTCTGAAGCCGATTTGACCGACGATGTGAGCTCGGATGGTGCCGTGGTGTGGATCGACTGGATCATCGGCTTCGCTTTCACCATTACGGAGCTTCAGTACAACATCGGGAACGCCGCCATTCCGCAGACCTTGACGAGAACATTCGGACTGCAGGTTTGGCAGGTCGGACCTCTTCTCGCCAGTGTTAATTGCGCTTGCATGTGCTTTCTGGCTTTGCTGCCTCGCCTGCCGGCCGCTGGGATTTGACCTTTGCACTATCACTTCTGCCCTGGCACAACAAAACATTGAGGTGACATCAAAGAGGTATGTGAATGATGCTGATGTCAATGTGCCCCGTTGTGAAGCTTAGGTCGCAATGTTACACCGGAACCCCGTGAACATCGTCCTGGCCTTCCTTTCCATCTTGCTGTCATGGATCCTTGCCTCCGTTGCCTCGTTCATTCCGGAAGGCCTGCCCATCTTTGTGGCCAGCATCTTGCTCTTCACGCTGGCGGTGAACATGGTCCAGGTCCTTCTCCTGGAGTATCTCTCCAACGTCCTGGATGCCCAAGGATCCAAGAAACTCCTGGGCCTGTCTGAAACCTTGGGATGTGGCTTCGCCATGCTGGGCGGTTATCTGGGTGATGTGCTTGAAGTCTATGGGGATGCTGCGCCCTTCATGATGCAAAGCGCCGTCGCTCTGGTTGCCGTGTCCATGGTGGGGGCCTGCCTGGGGTATCGCCACATGACACGCTCCAAGGTGTTGTGCATGCAGGACAGATCGAGGCTGCCTTTTGCATTGCCACTTGTGTAAAAAACACGTTGAAGTGTTTTCGGTGTTGTATTTTGCAGTTTACAGGACGGGAATGGTGCGGACGCTCGTTTACAAAACCCGGGTAGCCCGAGCATGAGCAGGGCTTTGCGGTCTTGTGCACGGCAAAGCCTCGAGGGTGTCAGACAGATTGTCAGCTGCACGTCGACACACAGCCTTGCAAGTGCCGGGTTCTTACGAACAGTTGCAGGACAAAACCGGACAGTGGTTGGGCTGTGGTGCACTGCAGACACTTGAGCTGCCGCTCGCTGTTCAGGTGGAGTCGGCTTACCGGAAGGCCGTAACAAGGGCTGGCTCGCCTCTCGCAGCACCCTTACTCGATAGTGACGTCTTGTCGCGATCCTCCAGCCACCCGTCTGTGGCCAGTGAGCGATCCGATCGATCTGAGCAGTCGGAGGGCCCTGCCTCGGCGGAGCCGTGATCAGCCGTCTCGGTCTGAACTTGAAGTATTCTCCTTTGTGCCACGGCTGCCAACAGTTCCGAAAGCAGATCCGGTTCTCACCGAGTGCGGGGTGACGCACACATCCCAAGCTATCTGCAGGCAGTTCCCCAGATCTAAGGCCGAGTGTCGATCTCTGTGAGGCAAAGCGAGCCCGGTGATTGCGATGCCTGGCTCCTTGACGTCGACAGAGGACCCAATGCCCAGAGGTGTGAGGAGGGTTTGGGGGGTTGGGAAGGCTCGAAGATGCTGTTGCATCGTTGGAGTTCACAGTCCGTGTGGGCTCTCACGTTTTGGGGACACGAGCTCCGTACCCTCCCTGCAGGAAGGCATCCAGGAACCACGTTCTGAACGGTTGCAATGTGAGCTTGAACTATTGAACCCAATTCACCGGCACAAAGAGAACAGCCGAGGTGCTGAGGTGCTTGGCATTCGACCGCCGGCGAGCACGCGGCCGCTCGGAGAGTAGTGGGGTGAGCATTGGCACGGAAACCACCTGGAGCTTCTTGAGCAAACGACCTTGGCTGGGCTCCTCGATTCAAGGCCTCGCGTGGCTTCGGCCTCTGGTTTCTTCGCCCCACGCGTCCGCCTGGCGGCTGCATCTGCCCCCGTGCAGAGGGGTGCGGTCTTGGGAGGCCGGTTGCTTATTTTACGGTTTAGTGTGTGTACATATATATATATATAGATATATATTTACACACACACACACACATATATATATATATATATGTATACATATACATATATATATATATATATATATGGTCAGGCGCTCCGCCCTCCCTCCCCCAATGGTCCAGGATGCCGTCCCCCCTCCTGTGGGGTGGGTGGTTGTGGGGTTTTGGGGTTTGCAAATATACTCCGGAGCATACACGTCTTCTGTCTTCAAGCGCAGCTTTCGGGCTTAATGTGGGGGCCCTGGGCGTTAGAGCTCCTTCGTGAGTTTCGCTTCTGGTCTCCGTCGACCTCGACTGTTGGCCCCTCTTTCGTTATCCTCCTGTGCCTTCTCTTTTGCGCCATAGGCTTCTGCTGTGGAGCTTGCTCGGTGGCATTGCTCTTATCAGGGCAATTTCGGCGGATAGCCGGCTGCATCTTGAGGCTCCTGGCTTCCTCTCTGGAAGTTCCTGCAAGGCCTCGCGTGCAAACTGGAACCCTGGCTACGAGGCTTCGGGAATACCGTGAATGAGTGAGGGTGGCAACGAGCTGGAGCGAGTTACTCTGCGCCTTGCTGGCCTTACCATAGACATCAGTCGCGACGGCGGCTCCAGCTCTTCACTGGGGTCGTTCGAGCTTGTGAATTTGCCAGGTGCCCGGACCGAAACCGGACCCCGTGCTGGCAGTGAGTCTGCGGGAGCCTCTGTCGTTAGCTTGAACGAGCGGCTGGCCAACTGCACCACTGCGGCGGAGCTCAACTCTGTGGAGATTGGGGCTTTTGCTGAACAAGCTCGGGGCCTGGGATCGACTGGTGAGTGGGCGGCTCGAGGTCGGGCTGCACGATCTCTCCTGGCTGGGGTGCAAGCGGCTAAGAAGCTGAGTGAAAAGATCAACGCTGTGCCTCGATCCCTCCCTCTTTCACTTAGCAATCGCTTCTACGTCTGCTTGCGGTGCGAGCTCTTCCCGGAAGGCTTCGTCACTGAGAGCTTCAAGGTCTACAAGGCCACGTGCTTCAACAGTCGTGGGACCGCCCCGGAGGTTGGGTCGGTGAGCCACGGCTTCCCATCGAAGACCGAGGCCCTTTTGTATTGCCAGGGCGCCGACCGAGAATGGCCGGTCGTCCTTTGAGCGAGGAGGAAGTCCGCAACCTGGCGGTGCCCGGAGACGCTGCCCGGCCACTGGGGATTATCTTCTTTTGCGACCTGGAGGAAGAGCCCACTTGGCGGGCCACGGCTTTCCTCGTCCGAGTTGGACGTGGCGGTTTCCTCGTCGCCCTACCCTTGGACGACCGAGTGCAGGATGCTCTGCAACAGCTGGGCGAGGACGAGGAGGACACCATCTTCTTCGGGGAAAACACAGTGGCTTGCGAGACTGCTCGGCGCCGGCCAGTGGGAACCGTGAGCCTCTACCTGGTCGATGTTCCTTGGCGTTTCCTGCCGCGCTTCCGAAAAGCCACAGCAGGACGGGCTGCTGGGCCCGAGATGATTTCCATGAATCACAACGGTACAACAGTTCGTCCAATCAGAGCACGAGCCGCCTGGGCGCCATCGCGGAGGACGCCCACTTAGCCGAGATCGAGGCCGGCGTTGTCGAGGACAGCCAAAGGCTCATCCTGGCTCAGACGCAAGTGCTGGCGAAGCTGGCCCAGCCAAAGGCCGTGGATCCGCTGGCGGCCGCCCTGGGGAGCATGACGAAAGAGGAGACTTTCCTGGCAGCCAAGGGCCACGGCAGCCGCAGTGCGGCGCATGGGCGCCGAGGCCATGGGCATCGACGCCACCAATGTGCCCTCGCGCCTGATGCTGGGCTACGTCGAGCGCAAAATGCCGGTGGGCGACCAGAAGCTCCTAGCTCTCATCGCCACGTTCGCCGCGTCTGGTTGGCGCGCAGCGGGCGACGAGGGGAACACGAGCTTAGAGAGCTGGATGGCAAAGCTCCTGGTCTTTTGCGACCAGAGCTCGGTGGAGGGGGGCAGGACCCAACTGCCCTGGCTGCTCACAGGGTTGAGCGACCCAAACTTCGCAGCCATGAACCGACGACGTCAAGGCATCAAGCCGTTTGGCCGTTTGATCCCGAGCACTTGGATGTCAGCAAACATCGCGTATGTCAAGGAGATGGATTTCCTGGGAGCCCGCGTTGCAGGAGGCACGGCGACCTCTTACGATGCAGGGCTAAGCGATCCTTTCAGGGTCTGCCAGATCGGGGTTAGCATCATTTATGCGGCTTTCTTTGGCACCCACCGCCTGCACCGCACAGCCCGCCTCTAGAGGCGCCGGCGAAGTTTGGCCTGTCCCGCCACCGTGCCGATGGACGGACCACGCACGAGGCAAGCCCAATCCGCGACGTCGCCGCCGGCTTCGACTGCTGGCCGCGATCCGCTCAGTTTTGCGTATGCAGGTCAGCTGCCTTAACTGGCTTTCTCTTGGTTGCCCTACTGTACCTCCCCAGCATGCATGTGTTGGAGGGACCCCCTTGAGTGCACACCAACAGCAGACCTTGGATACATTGGAGCGTCACGTCACGTCGCTTACTTCTGTAGTGCTGGGCCCTTGTCGAGCCAGGCACTTGGGCGTTCTTGTGAAAAATTCAACCTCTTGCTTGAGTTGAGTGCAGCACTGCCCAGCTTGGATGCCACGGATCCCGTTGCAGCAGATGCCCGCTTAGCCAAGTTGGTTGCCGAATTGCAATCCGGGTGGGACTCTTATGCTCGTAGGCCCCGGCCACCCGCTAGGAGTAATCCCCCTCAGCCCGCAACCCCAGCTTCCGAGGCCACTGCTGACTTAGGGTCGTGTAGTTTGCCTGCTGGGCTTGCGTGTAAGGAGATTTTTTCGGATCGCATCAAATGGACCCTGCCTCCGAGCTTCAATCCTTTGCCCTTTTTCACCGATTCCATAGTGCGAGCTGTGTATGTGAACCCAGATGTCCTTCGATTGCCTTCGCGTCAATGGCCCAAACTTCCCGCGGCACAGGTTCACGGATCGCGGGGCGAAATCCTTCGCTTGGCTGGCAAATGGGACGAACACCAGGCCCTTGCCCTAATCCCATGCACGGAAGTTGATGAAACTGAGGCTTGTGGGTGTTTTGGGGTCTCTAAGGACATGGAGTTTGATAGATTCATCGTTAACCCCAGCGTTGTCAACTCCCGGTCCCGACCCTACTCAAACTTCACTAAAGTCTTGCGCCGGGTTTCCTCTTGACTTTGGCCCACATCCCAGACCCCAACTCCGTGATCAGATTTGCCGCTGATGATTTGAGTGAAATGTACTATACGTTTGAAATCCCGCTCTCCCGAGCCAAACGTAATTGCCTCAGGATGCGGTTCAAGTCTAGGGAGGTTGACCATTTCAAGGCCTATGCTTCGGCCTCCCCTAGCGATGAATACTACGTGTCCTCAAAGCCTTAGCTATGGGCGATTGTATGGCAGTGGAGTTCGCGCAACAGAGTCATTACAATGTGCTAAGATTTGTCGCCAATTGTATGAAACCCTCGCAGCAAGTTACCTATAGGTCCCCAGCACCTCGTTCTGCCACATGGGAGTTTCTTGCGATTGACGACCGCCTTACTGCACAGATCGTGAGTCGTGAAGCTTGGCGACGATTGTGCCACCCGGATCGCGACACATCAATCTTCGCTGCTTCAGAGCTCGCTTATCAGAGCGTCGGATTTGTGCAACATCCACGCAAAAGACGACGTGACGAGCTTCGGGGGGTTTACCTCGGGGCCGAAGCTGATGGCGAAGTTGGCATTGTGAGTGCACCGCGCTGCCGCGTCATTGTGCTCATGGTGCTTACTGCTGCGATTGCTCGAAAGGGCACATGTTCTTCATCGCTTCTCGCCTCCATCCTGGGGCTTTGGATTCATGTGTTGATGTTCCGTCGGCCGGTGCTGGCCCTCTTGAACCAGGCCTTTTTAGACTCGCGTCGTGAACCGGTGGACCGTGTGCTGCCCTTGCATCGTGACACTGTCAACGAGCTCCTCGCCTTGGCAGTGCTTGGGCCCGTGTTGCAAACGGACCTTCGGGTGTCCTACACCGAGCAGCTCTTTGCTATGGACGCCAGTCCAGATGGAGCCGGCTTAGTTGCCGCGCCTCTGGTCAAGGAGTTGTGGCGTTTTTCGGAGCAACGCGGTTTCTACACCCGACTCGCCAATCCCGCGGGCCCGCGGGCGAATGCTTGGAAAGCTTGGGCCTGGAATCCGCACCGGCTTTTGGCCACGTTGAGACTCCCGCTGCACCGCGCCTGTTTCCTGTGTGTCGGCCTGTCCCAGAGGGTGTGTTGTACGACGTCCTCGAGGTCTTCTCGGGCGACGGGGCTTGGTCGGCAGCGCACCAGGCTGCGGGGCTCCGGGCGTTCCCCGGGTTGACTTGCGAGCGTGGTGGTGCGCCGCGAGCTGTTCGGTTTAGCGACCTGAGCTCCGTCAGTGTGTTTCACGAGTTGCGCAGCCTTGCTTTGCGGGGCGTTGTCGGCGAGTGGCACGCTTCACCTCCGGCTGGCTCCTTCCAAACCTTGCGGCGCCCCCGGTTTAGGTCTAAGAGTAGGCCTTGTGGGTTTGGGTCAGCACCGGCTTCGGCTCACCTGGAGAACTGCCTTGCTCGCCGCCTGGCGTTCTTGTTCTGCGTCGTTGCCTTGAACGGAGGGTACTTTTCGGTCGAGCAACCGGGCTCCAGCGTGATGTTCTACTTGCAGTGTTTCGTCAGGCTGGCCAGCTTGGGTGCCGTGCTTACACGGTACTGCTGCTGTTCCTTTGGTGCACCCTTCAAACGCCCTCGGCAGCTTCTTCACAACAAAGGCTGGTTGCTCGAACTCGAGGGCCCTTGCTTGTGCTCCCGGGACCGACCTCACTTTCGCGTCGAAGGCACCTTTACCACTGCTTCTTTGAGCTCTTTTGAGGACTCTTGTGCCCCGTCTAGCCTCTCGGTCTTTGGTGCTTCACCTGCGGTTGGTGAATCGTTGGCCAGCTTTGCTGCGCGCTCCCCTTTGCGCCTGGTTCAGCGCATGGCCTCCGGGAGTGTCTGGGCGCGGGACGGTTCGGTTCCTGTGTTGTCCTTGTCCGTGTCCGCCAAGTACGCCACCCTGCAGACCCTAACCTTAGGTGGTTTAGTCCCCCTGCCCGACTTGTCCGAAGTGCGGTTTGAGTCTCGCCCATGCCACGACGACCCGGAGTGGATCGGTGAGCTTAGCGACTCTTTAGAATTTAGGGAACTCCTTGGGTACAGGTTTAAGAAGCGCGGCCACATCAACATTCTTGAAACACGTTGCTACAAGACTTGGTTGAAATGGTGTGCGACCCGACATCGCAACTCCAGACTTCTGGGTCTGATCGACTCTCGGGTTTTGTTGGGAGCGTCCGCGAAAGGGCGCTCAAGAAGCCCCTCCTTGAGCCATGTGCTGCAGGGTAGTCTTCCCTTCCTGTTGGGCGGTGGCCTTTACCCCGGCGGCCTTCACGTGTACTCAGCTAAGAACCGCAGCGACGGGCCGTCCCGCGGACGTGCTGTCGAGCCTCCGACCAAGGAGCAGCCTCTTTGGCTCAGAGACCTGATGTCTGGCAGCTACGAGCGCTTCGACATCGTTGTGGCTGCGGCGGGCGTCCCCAAGCTCGCAGGAAGATGGCTCAGGTTGTTTTTTTTTGCTGGGCGGCGATATAGAGCCTCATCCGGGCCCTGCTGTACTTTCTGTGCCTCGTGGTGCTCTCGACCTTGAGTCAGGCTTTGCAGCCTCCACGAAGCACAAGATGCGCAAGGCCCTGGGAGCTTTTATCGCTTGGCTGGAAAGCGATCTGAAACTTGACTTTGGGCAGGTCATGTCGTCCTCGCGTTCTGCTGCTTTAAGCTTAAAGGCTTTCGGGTTGCACTTGTACTCTCAGGGTTTCCCCAGGTATCTCTTGGTCTATGCCATCACGGCTGTGCAAGATGCTTTTCCGGAATACCGCGGCAGCCTTGCTCCTGCGTGGCAGGTGGACAAGAAGTGGCAGGCTGCTGAACCCGGTCAATGCCGACCTGTCATTTCTCAGCCCATCGTCCAAGCTGCTGTGACGTTGGCCCTTGTTTGGGGTTGGAAAGATTGGGCCGCAGTTACCTTGATCGGGTTCTTGTGCATGCTGCACCCTTCTGAAATAGTGCCCCTCGTGAGGCAAGACCTTGTTCTACCGTCGGATGCCATGACTACCGACTGGGTGGCTTACGTACATGTGCGCAATCCAAAGACGCAGCGGTTCGCCCGGCGACAGCACCGTCGTTTGGACGACCCTGTGACCCTGCAGTTCCTCAGCGCCCTCTACAAGGACCTTCCGCTGGATGCCCGTCTGTTTCGTGCGTCGATGCATGTGTATCGTCGGCAGTGGAACGCCATCATGGCGCGCTTGGGTGTGCCATACACCCAAGCCGAGCGCGGCGCCACTCCTGGCGTTTTGCGTGGCAGTGGAGCCACGTTCTTGTATCTTGAGACAGAGGACATCTCCTTGGTCGCTTGGCGGGGGCGCTGGAGCAAGGTCAAGACGATCGAATTCTATCTTCAGGAAGTAGCTGCGCAGCTGTTACTTATGCAGCTTTCCGAAGGGTCGCGCCGTCGCATTTCGGTGCTCCGCAAGTTTGCGCAGCCCCTCTTGTTGCTGCACGTGGCAACAGCTTGTCTTTGAAGTGGACGGAGTCCAAGAAAGTTGGAGATGGACCACCCTTGCTTTAGCACCCTAAGGTTTAGGCCCGTGCCCCTTCGGTTTAGGCCTCTCTTTCGGGTACCTTCGCAAGGCTCTCCTCAGCCAGACTGGCTTTTTCACTTCTACGCTGGCAATCGCCAGCAAAGTGGCGACTGCCGCTCGGGACACTTGGCAGAAGCAGGCGCGAAAAGGAGTATGCAAATATACTCCGGAGCATACACGTCTTCTGTCTTCAAGCGCAGCTTTCAGGCCCCGCCCGCCCTTCCCGGGGACCACCCTTGCTTTAGCACCCTAAGGTTTAGGCTCGTGCCCCTTCGGTTTAGGCCTCTCTTTCGGGTCCTCAGCCAGACTGGTTTTTTCACTTCTACGCTGGCAATCGCCAGCAAAGCGGCGACTGCCGCTCGGGACACTTGGCAGAAGCAGGCGCGAAAAGGAGTATAGGGTTTAGCTCGAGCTTTTGAGTTTGGGGTTTAGGGTTGTAGGTTGGCTAGGGTTGACGGTTCATGTTCTGCAGCCCTCTCGGTGCCCCCTGACCGCCCCCCAGCAGCACCGTACCCTCCAGCTGCAGCTCCAGCGGCCCAGACCACTCTCCGCACACCGAATGCCGGATGCTTGACCATCCATTTATACATATATATATATACACATGGGTTTGCTTAGGTGGATAGCTATATACAGAACAAATAGGTGTATGCGTATATATATATATATAACACATACACGTAGCATCTTGATTTTCTGTTGGGTTTTGCTTCGTGACTTGGTGCACTTTCCTTCATTCTCGGCCCTCCCTTTGCTCAGCGGGTCCTGCCGGAATGAGGTAAGATGTCCGTAGTCGACACTCATAAAGTTTGATCAGCGCCTTCATGCAGGGGCTGAAACGACATCAGTTTGCACAGGTCCATCCTTGAGGTTGCCCCTTTCCTACGAGTGAGCAGATGTCCTGTCTGAGTCGCTGGATGCGTCGGGGCACCGCGTGTCGAGTGTTCTCAGCCGAACACGAAGAATTCAGGCATGCATGCTTGGGCACAGACTCGTGTCGTGCTGTAGACTGGTGAACTCGGGCCGCCTTGTAGAACGAAGCCGTTCAGGCATAATTCGAGTGCTTGCATGACCCAGGCTTCCAGACCGCAAGTCCTGAGTTTTCTCGTCATGATTGTCAGCAAAGCCGAAATTTAGATGTAGATAGGATCTGCGATGCCTCCGACAGTTGGGAGCAGCTTGTACTGCGGTCTTCTGCAGCAGCTTGCTCCAAGAGTCGCCGAGCTCGGGCAAATCCTTGCAATTTTTGCATGTCGTTGTTTCGGTGATGTACAGTCCCAGCGAGGCGCGTGATTCCGAAGGCCCCGTCAAAACAGGAAGCACATTGCACCGGGCCTCGTCTGTCCTGTAGCGCACCCTGGCCAATCAAAGAATTCTGGGTGACTCCGAAGGTCGCTGAGAGGGGCCTGTCGGGACGAAATTCAGCTGGGGCTAGTTGCTCGCCCTCTATCATGCTTCTGCTTTCAGAGTGTTTGAGGCCACGGGGCCTTAGATGGCCCATGGCTGGGAGAGCTGTTCCATGTTGTCATCACACTAGCGAGACATGAGTACAACTGGGACGGTGTACAACTCCTTGAGGCCAGCCTCGCTTCGAATGCATCTGTCCGACTGCAGCACTTTCAGTGCTCCTGCTCATGCTTCACAAGATCGGAAGCACGGAAACCACGTGTACAACCGAAGAGACGTGTCATCTCACCGCGAGCGCAGTGATCTATTGCGGGTTTGTGAAACAGGAAGCCATCTGAGGACGTTGTAGATGTTGTAGCTGAGATTCGGTATTTGACTCCTTATTTTTTACGTAGCGTGCCCCAGCTCATCATGTTGCTTTCTCCGGGCCCTGGAACTCGGCCACCCGACGGCGTGCCTCGAGCAGTCGGCCGGGTGGTGGCGGTCTCGGCCGCTTTCGTAGGCCGGCAAGGAGCTCTTTTGGGGAACTTGTGGCCAAGGCCAAGGCGGCTGACGGTGCCGCTTCCAGGAGCAGCGACTTCCAGCACGCAGGCCAATTTGCAACCACTCTCTTGTTAGCTTCGCGACCTTACCAGGCCAGGTTTGACAATTGTTCGCTTTCCAGGTGCGCTGGGCATGAGCGTTGGGATAGCGGCATGCAGCGCTGCAAGACGTTGCCGCAATAAGACCCTGCGATTCCGACGTGTCTTTCGATCGCAGTATTGTTACACCGCCGGTGACAGGCTAGGGGCGGCTAGGGCACCAATTCGCCGAGTCTTGGAAGCTGGAAGGTCTGGACTGCAGCCACAGCCGTCGAGACGGTGGTGAAGCCTCCAGCCATCGAAGACGAGTCGAGGGAGCCTCCAGATGAACCAAACGAGCGCAACTTAATTGTCTCCTGCCCGCAAGCAGAAAAACTCAGTAGAGACGTTCTTGTCAAGCAGAGACATCGGCGACCTCCCGTGAGGATAGCAAGTTGTTTTGCTGCAACATCGCCATATCAGGCCTGCGAAACCGTAGGCCGTTGTCCCATCACCTTCAAAATCCCTCAAACCTCAGACCTGCGGATCTTGTAGTCGCAGCGCAAAGTCGTCGCAAATCCAAGGTCCTGCTCGTGGCCGCAGCGCACCCTGGCAGACCAGTTCTCTTTGCGAATTGATGCCGATGCAGCCTGTATCTGCAGAGGTATGTGATTTGGCAGATGGACAAGGTGAACATGTCCGTGGCCATTTTGCCCATGGCAGAGCAGATGGGCTGGGATTCTGCTGATGAAGGCCACCTTGCGGAACAAGCAGTTTTTTAGCTCCCAGTCCTTCTGAGATTCTGGTTTCCCAGGTGTGATACAGAGCTCCATCTTTTGGGGCTATGCAGCAACACAGATCATTGGTGGCTTCCTCGCAACACGCTTTGGTCTGAGCCCAAGTGACTGTTGCCATGGACGTTGGCCGTGTCGAGCATTCCACAAATGCATTGCTCTCAGGTGGGAAGCGTGTCCTTCTGTTTGCAGTGACCCTTTGGTCCTGCGCAACGATGCTGGCACCTTTAGCTGCCACTGTCTCCACACAGGTGGACTAGAACCTTAACCCCCGATATCCCTTTGATAGGCGTTGCTGAAATCGCAGGAAGAATTAAAGCTTGCAAAGAAAAGGCTGACCGGCGGAGCTCAGCCGAGGAACTAGAAATCTCACTTCGGTCTTGGCAATAGTGCTCTCCATGTTTAGGTAGTACCATAGCGGCCTAAATTACCAATACTGTTTTGGGGTTCCCTGTGATAGTTGTGGTATTATATACCACAAAACCCTATTCTAATTGTTAAGGTCCCTAGATTTCACTACTGATTCCTCTTGTCTTGACCGAGATGGAAAGCTTCTCCCATGGCATGTCCGAATCGAATTACGAACCGTTCATTGCTTGCAGGTTTAACCAAGCTTCCCTCGTTATGCTGAAACTCTTCAAAATATGAAGCTCAATTGAACGATTTGCCGAATCCTGTTTCTGTTGGAGCATGTAAGATGCCGGCAGGTGTTCATCGCGAGCCGCGTCCTTGTCGGGATCGGCGAAGGCCTTGCCCCTGCTGCTGGGCTGCGGATGGTCGCCACCTGGGTTCCCGAATCCGAGCGCAGCCGAGCGGTTTCAACCTTGGGCGGTGGAAAGACTAGTGGGTCGATTGCCGGCTTGTTGCTGGCCCCTGTCGTCATCAACAGCTTTGGCTGGCAGGCCATGTTTTACTCCTTTGGCTTTCTTGGCCTACTTTGGGCAGGCGTTTGGCTGATCAAGGGCAAGGACCGCGATGGAAGTGCGACTGTTGACGGCGACGAGCCCATCCCTTGGTTGTCCATTTTAAGCACACCACAGCTGTGGGGGGTAGTCGTGGCACATTTCTGCCATGACTGGGGAGGCTATGCCTTGCTGACATGGACCCCGACCTACTTGAACCAAGCTCTGGGATACAACTTGGAAGGCAGTAGCGAGCTCACCGTCATCCCCAGTGTGTGTGCTGTTGCAGTGGCAGCAGGTAGTGGGATTCTCGCTGACAATCTCCACGGGAATGGAATGGACCTCACGTCTGTGCGGAAGCTCTTCCAAAGTGTTGGCTTTTTTATTCCGAGCCTTATGTTGGGACTGCTCGCCACCACTGCGACAGCCGGAAACGTGGAACCTGGGTCGCTGATGCCCATCGTGTTGCTTACCTTCGGCATCGCTTCTGGCGCCTGCTCGTACGCTGGGCTCTACTCCAGCCATGCTGACTTGAGTGCCAAGTACAGTGCTCTCGTAAATGCCATTTCAACCACTTTCGGCGCACTGGCTGGAGTGTGCTCAAATGCATATGCTGGCTACATGCTGAAAGCCACGGGATCCTGGTCGCAAGCCATTTTCTTACCATCAATTGCCTTGTATGTTGTGGGATGGGCCGTTTACACCTCGCTTTACGATGCAACACCTGTTGATTGGGATGCCAAGGATGAGGAATAGCCTTGTCCGGTGTTCTGTTGCCAGGAGTTGTCAGACCAGAAGCCCGCGAAAAAGCTCTGCGGACATTGCTTCTCTCACAATCTTTCCTGTCCCTGTTTCTTGTATTATCTATCTCCTTGAACATGATGCTGTGGACACCCTGGCCCTAGCTGCTGACATGAGTGTAAATGAGCCTCTTTCCTTTAGACAGCCTGGGCCATAAGTGGAAAGGTCTGATGACCGAGTACAAGGCACACCCTCACGGCATGGAGCAGGATCTGGAAGCATCTGGGTGCAAGCCTGAAGTCACTGAGCGGGGCCCGTCGGACCTTAGGATTTGGATGATCTTCTTCGGTTCTGCAGCAAGGAAACCAGCCCCTCCGAGATGGCTTCGGGAGTTGGGACTCTTTGTGCCTGTCAGATTCTGCTAATGTAGATTCTTGTTCGTGTAGGGGCTAGTCAGACCGGGTGGTTCCTCTGGTGCTAAGCCTGATTTGAAGATGTCCAAAAGTCGGCTTGAGCCACCGTTCGATGAAATCTATCTCATCAGCTAGCTCTTGGCTCATTTGAGCTGCCGGCGGTCGCTGCCTGCGGTCGTGGCCGACCATGTGGCGGCTGGTTGCAGCCTGAAATTTGCTTCCGCAAGGTCACAAGCTTTATCCACGACTTTGGCCCTTGTTCTTGTCCCATCCGAGGCGGGCCAGAGGAGGCTTGGGCTGGGACCCATGGCAAGGACTGCAGCATTGTTGGATTCTCTGCTGCAGTTTTCCAGTTCTTGCTGCAGTCTGACAGGACGCTGCCCGTCCTCGATCGAGCCTGTGTTCCGGGTGGACCCTGCGCAATGACCTTTGTTACGAGCTTGCCCAGCCAAGCTCGATTCGCGTCCGGGCAGAGAGATGCTTGGCCAGAGTGAGAAGAAGTCTGGCCTGAACGCTTGTGGTGTGGCATCGCACGATCTGATCTTGAGGAAAAATCTTTACCATCGCGGCTGCCTTGCATACCCAGCGAGGGGCAAGATCAAGGCAAGTCTTCCTTAGCTTCCCCTGAAGCGGAGGAAGGAAAGATCAACACCATTCCGGAAAGGGAGGCTGGGAAGCAAACCTGAAAGCGAGAGGGACAACGATGCCCTCTTGCCGCCGTCGATGCAGGATTGGGAGATGGAGCCCCTGATGGCGGACGTGCGTTGCTTAGACTGGCTGAGACTGGCTTAGGGTGGAGTCCGTGTATCGCATGCCTTGTTTCGGTCGAGGCCAGGGTGTTCTTGGTGGCCGGGGCTCTCCTGTGCTTTGGGGGAAGTCTCGTCTCCGTTTATGCCAGGACCCCAGTCTCGTAGCAACTTCCGAGTCTGCACGGCTTTGTGGCAGGTGGCTGTGACACATGATCCGAACCGGAAAGAAGATCGGACGGTGCTGAAGCGAGGGGAATACATCGCTGGTGGTAGTGTTGTCCGCACCTTGGCAACTGCTCCGAAGTCGAAGCACTTCGAGAGAAAGGCTCGTGTCTTGCCAGGTCGGCGCCCTGGTCATGATGGTCCTCATCTTGCGCCGATGAGAGGGAAGTGAAACCTCATCAGCGAGACACATCTAGCATCTGAGCGAAGAGCCTTAGCACGATGCGAGCTGAGGCTAAGTGTAGCCTGCCGCGAGACGCAGTTCGTGCACGGAGCCAATCCGCGCGCCGTTTCACTTCGCGAGACCATTGTTTCACCTACGCAGCGCGTGCCAGAAATGACTCCATGAACAGGTTCGTGCTTTGCCGCCTTCTTCGTAGGTCGGGTTTGGTTGACATGAGCTCCGCCGCTGAGCTACAGGTGTTGCGCGAGCCGCTAACAGCCGTGACAGCTCAAGTTTGCAGTCGAGTATATCTGTCGGGCCAAAGCATCCAAAGCTCACGATAGCAATATAGACTGAGTCGGTAAGTCCTTTGCCTAGGCCTAGGCCAAACAAAGCAAGCCAGGGTCAGTCATCACGATGGCGAAGGCAAGTTGTTCGTTGGTCATGTGATGATTCCTGCACTGGACTTGCTTGGAGCGTTGCGTGGCAAGGCTTCTCAGCTGCTGATCTCCTTTCTGTCTGATCCTCACGGCAACCAGCGGGTTTCTACTCGTGGGGCTGCCTTCCGGAACTGGACGCCGAGCCCGTCGTTAATTGTCAGCCTACTGTCGTCTAGTCAAGAATGCACGGCTTCCAGGAGCAGCTTCAGTGGCGCCGGCCCATCACCTCCAGGAGGTTACGGCGGGTACGGTGCGGGCGGGGGTGCATCCAGTGGGTATGCCAGCAGCAGCGGGTACCATGGCGGATACGGCGGTGGTGGAAGCGGGTATGGTGGGGGTGGACATGGAGGCGGGTATGGCGGGGGTGGCTATGGAAGCGGGTATGGCGGGGGTGGACAGGGAGGCGGATATGGCGGTGGTGGCTATGGAGGTGGAGGATATGCAGGCGGGCATGGTGCCAATGGCGGGTATGGGGGAGCTCCTGGTGGCTATGGCTATGGCGGCTCGCAAAGTGGAGGTCCACCCGGCCCGGATCCCTATGGCAATTCCTACCGGGATCCGTATAGGGATCCGTACGGAGATCCCTATGGTGGTCCCAATGGCATGCCTCCACCGAAGGGCCAACCTATGGAGGACGATTTCGACGAAGGCCCGATCGCTGAATGTCCGACAGCTTAGCAGCTTGAGCGCAAGTGACGCGCAGGTGCAGGGGAAGGGCTGAATATGGTGGAGGCAGGGGCTGGCTTACCTCCACCGGATGAGCCTGTTGACGAGGCCCGTGTCTGTGAAGGGGTGTTCTCTCGCTCTTCGCTAGCATGAATGGCCCCCATCCGAAGGTGGACATGGATCCGGAGGCTATGTACGAAGAGGGGGCCCCCGAAGAGCCGATCTCCGAAGAACCGGAGGCCGGCTATGGAGAAGGCCCACCTCTGCTACTAGCCGCGGCCTCATCAAACTCACCCGAGCTCAGGGGACCTCAGGAGTGGTGTAAGGTTTCAGGGTTTTGGTTTTGACTGCTGAGCATAGCGGCATAGCGCTGCAGACATTCTGGACGGTAGTGTCTCCAGGTTATTTATCTTCGCATTCGTCATCTTGCAAACTTTCTGTCCCTGTCAGGGAGTGCGGAGTTCAAGCTGCACAAGTTGTGCTGCAAGTGCACGTCTGGATGAGGTCAACAACGAAGGCCAAAATATTTTGGCGAAGGAAAAGACCAGGCGCAGCATGCTCACACGGTGTGCGACATGATTAGAAACAAACAGGTTTTACTGGTTCAACACTGTGCATGAAGACTTGGGGTGTTGAGCACGTGTCAGCATCTGGCATTTGTCACTGGTGTCGACACTGGAGGCAGCTGATCAACAAAGTCAACATCCTGTCAAAGACCCTTCAGGCTGGATAGTTGATATAGTTGTCACGCCGGCCGGTCGGAGTCGAGCTGCTTTCGTTTTCCGGGCTGCCCCGCACTTCCCGGCTTTCCTTCGCCTTAGATGCACTCTAAAAGGGGTCTCTTTTGCACCTCTCTCGAGGCCAAGCTGCCACTTTACGACGAGGGAACGCCTTGGCCCTGGGAGTCGCCGAGTCGGAGCGGAGAGGAACGAGAGAGGCTTGAGCTGGGCCTCTCTGGAGTGCCGCCGCGACTTGTGCTCAGGGACCTCCCGGAGCCCGAGGATGAGATGAGGGAGATTTGCAGGGCCAGGGAGGCGTCGAATTGGAAGTCATGGGGCGATAGAGGGCGCAGTCGAGCGAAGCGACCAAGCTGGATTTTTCGGTGAGCCAGTACTGTAGGTGGAGATCAACAAGCTGGAGCAGGCCTGGATTTTCACGTACCAGCCAAGGGGTCTCATGGGGCTTTGGATGGTGATGTCGAAGGCGAAGACGGCTGCCGAGATAGCGCGCCTGGAGAATGAGGCGCCTCTGCAGTGAGGGCATGGTCTCCACGCTGGCTTGGAAGGTGTTTGATAGGTGCTTTGTGATGGGTGGTGCAGGCAGCTTGCTAGTCCGTTAGGGGGCGAGGTTTCGGAGGTGCCGCTCAACAGGATGCTTGGTCGTTGCAAGCTGTTGATTGTCAATGGCATGGATGGCTAGTTGCACATGGCCAGGATGAAGAAGGTGGTGCTGACATTAACGTCGAGGAGGAGGCAGGCATCAAGACTTGAAGATGTTTGGTATCGTTGATCGGGCTGCCGCGACTTCTTGCCACTTCTTGCAGGCGAAGAAGATAAGATCAGAGTGGCCGGCCTGATCCTCAAGAGAAAGTCAACTGAATCAGAATCAGAGCGTTGCTAAGTGCCTGCACATCCCACCTAACAAGGGTGACGAGTACGACGACCACGGAGGATATCCCGCCCCTGAGCCTCGGCCGGTGCAGTCGCTTTCGAGTTTGACCGATTGGTGCTGCGTGCTGAGGATGCTCACTACTACCAGGGTTATGACTACGGTAGTTACGATTACGGTCACGGTCACGGTCACGGCCATGCTGCGGCACCTGGTGCTCCCGGGCCACCTGCGGCTGCCGTTTGCCCTCCTTCCCTGGTCATGGGCTTATGAGGCTTATGCCATTAATGATGTTGCGTTTGTGATGCACTTGTTGATATCTCTTTGGTTAGCACTGCAGCACTCAATGGTGTCAAGGTTGTCCGTCTCCGATTCCATTTATGGTACTCGCGGCAAAGTGTTGCACCTCTTTCCGCTCGTCTTTTTGTCTTTTGCCTTGTCCTCTGCTTGTCGTCATGACTCGACCGGAGGGAGCACGGGTGTCTCGCTGTAAGTGGGGCGGGCAGAGGCCGAGGAACCATGCAGCCAAGGAGCAGCTGGCAAAGCCCCGGGTGGGCAGGTGATCACAAGTTTCCGGGGACACCCAAAACGATGCACTTCCTTCATGCGAACGAAGACGTACCAGAGCAACAATTGCTGCATTGCACATGAGAAGCCAAGTATAGCCAAACGTCAACCCCTTTCCTCAAGATCCTTGACCCTGACCAACTCGCTTTTGGGTAAGCCTCCTGGGGCACAGTCCTCTTTGCTCCAGAGATGCGTCTGGAGTGATGAGACGCATCTAACCAACACTTGGCAAGTGACCCTGGACATCATGGACAACACAGAAGATGCTGCAATGATGTAGCACGACACCGGAATAGTCGTGTCATTTCAACGATCACGTGGAAATCCCGCAACCGAGGTGGCGATTGCAATGCTGCTGCCGCACCTGAGAGAGCGGCGAAAGCTTCAGCGTGAAGCAGGCTTCCTTAGCCAGGCCGTCTTCTAGGCGATTGTGTTCGATCGGGTCTCAGGTCCGTGTCACCATTCCTCAGGGTTTGGCAGCCAAAGCCGCTCGCCGGACTCTCACTGGGACGCGTGAGCAATGTGCCGTGCAGGGGGCCCGGCACGAGAGTGCTTTCAGATCAGGCCGCTTTCAGGCATTCCAACTCGTGCTGAATAGACTTGCGTGCTTCTCGATCAGTACAGCGGTTTAGATGTGGGAAGGGTGGGTGGGAACCCCCCCACCCTCAACAGACACAGCCCCACATGGTTTCAACTTGACAACGGAAGCCCAATTTACCAACTCCTAAGCAGCTGAAAGCGGGTCCCCCCGGACGGCCGACGGCCGGCCCATGCAATGCCTGTGCTTCTTTTGCTCGCCGCGCTCACACTCGGAGCGACCGAGGCTGGCAGTTCCGGGGAGGAATCCCAAAATAGGCATCAGAGTCTCAGTTGATGGTTCAATGTTGGTCCTGTCGAGGTGTTGGGCGAAGAGCGGCTGGACTTTGCAGGCCGTGTTTCCTGAGCTCATCCTCTGAAGCGTGCCATCCAAAGCTGACCTTGTGCGTCGCAGGTTCAGTGAGCAACAGAGTCGCCTCGGATGAACAGGTCATCCAGTTCAGCATGAGCTATTGTGCCGAACATGCGAAACAGCATGGTTATCGCTGACGGACTTCAGTCGATTTGAAAGGGCGACCTGTGTTTATTCTCTGCCGCCAGCCCTGCGTCATTTGAGAGGTCGTGGAGGGAACCATCAGCCTGAATGGCACCATCACGCCGGAGATCGTAAGCTGCTAGCCGTGAATACAGATGGGCAGGTCATGGGTCTCTCACTGTGTTGCAGCTCCTTGAACGAAGCTGAGGCAAACTGAATTGGGCAGCACAAAACGCGCTTGTAGAGGCATGTGGCCACGGTAGCAAGGCGCCATGGTCTGTTGCATGGGGTTGTTGATCCGCTTCGCTCCGAATCCCTCGTGCCTCCTTCCGTCTCATGCTGCGCCTGTGTGAATGCAGGTGGAGGCTAGCACCAAGCTAGAGCTGTCGCCACGGACTCATCGCATCTTGGAGCGCATCGGAAGGGGGAATGAGTCAAATGTCAAGATGCCTCGGCTTGGAGTGGACGCTTCCAAGGTGCTGTTGACGTCAAGTTCTGGGTTCTGCCTCGCATGGGGGGAGGCCAGGGTGTCGGCGTCCTCTGCAGGTATCCGCAGGTAGCCAAACGTAGTGCCCCGCTCCATGCTCTTCCGAAACATTCCAAGCGCACGGCAGATGTAGCAGTCATTGAATCATCTTTCGTTAGAGGATTGAGCCATAGCACATCGTAGCACGTCCTGCATTCTGCCCAGCGCACGTCCTGGTGACGGAAAGCTGATATCGGCGCGGGAGTCAGGACCCCGAGACGGCACAATTGACAATGCAATGACCAAAACACACGTGCACAGCTGGAAGCTGTGGGAAGGAGGGACGGTCCTTCATGATCAAGACTTCTGAGTGGACTATCAGAAGTCTTAAGGTCTGAAGTACACCTCAGACAGGGTCGAAGCCGCATCAAAAGCTACAAGCGCCAACCGGAGAGAGAGAGAGAGAGAGATGCAAATTGCATTCGCTCGCGTACAACGAAACTCACTCGTGCCCCCAATAGTCGGCGGCGCACCCGCGCGCGCTGTAGGGGGGCTACCCTCTACCCCCTAGCCCTGGCGAAAGAAAGAGAGAGAGAGCGAGAGAGAGAGGCCCGGGTCTCCGACCTGTCCCCGACGGAAGGAAGGAAGGAAGGAAGGAAGGAAGGAAGGAAGGAAGGAAGGAAGGAAGAGGGAGCAAGAGAAAGAGGGAGAGAGACAGCACTAACGGAGTCAGTAACGTGCGCCACTCGGTGCGGGGGGCCTTGATGTGCTTCCGGAACTCCGGGTTGAAGTGAAGTGAAGAGAGCACTAACAGGCATAAGCCCCGGCGGAGGATTTTTTTGCACAGGTTTCCGGAATCTAGATCTTGCAGATGCTTGGGCAATCTTGGCCACTGCAAGTCAAAAGCTTCATCAAGATGAACCCGGTCGGGCATCATGCCGCCTTTGCGCGCACTGCAAGCGCTATATCTTCGCTATCCAAAGCATGAAAATGCGACAGCGGGATCTTAAACAACAGCTGCCAATCTGTCTCAATGGAGAACAGGAACCTGGAGGGTGTGCAGCTGTTGAAGCTAATCTCCTCAACAGGTGGCGACTGTGCGATGACGCTTGTGGAGGCTTCTGCGGGTGGCTTTGTTCCTCCTTTCCCCTTGTCCGGCCCAGACAGGACCCTTGGACGGCCTGCGATGTTAGAGCGCTACACACGACTAGGATTACAAGAGTTTCAAGCGCATCAAGCGACCATCTTGGCGAGCATGCCATCCAAGGAAGCCGACGTTTCGGAACATGATGCAGAACCAGTTGCACCCTGGAATCGTTAGTTCAATTGAAGATGATGTTAGAGAGACGATGCTGTCAGCCCAGGGCCTTGATCATGGACTCGGGAATAATGTCAGACATGTATCTGCGACTGTGGCGCGTCACCTGTGCGGTGAAGCCCGTTTGGAGGAGACCTGGCTGGGAAATTATGAAAGGTTTCCGTTCAGTTCAGTTGCTGTTCAAGTGCTCTCCTGCCGGACCACGCGCGACTACAAGTGGTGTACTCTGCCTCCCCGAGTCATGACACTGCAGCGTACTGCTATCGTGATGTGGATGTTCTTTCACCCACCTTCACCCCGGAGAGGCTTGGCAACCAATTGAGCGAGCGGAATTCCAACATGGCCTTGGGCTGAGACGCCGCAGTGAAACTGAGATGCTAGGTCACGGCTGGCCACCAGCATCGCTTTTCTTTTCTTGCGCAGCATATTGGCTTGTTTGTTGGCTTGAAGGCCTGCTCGACCTATGCCTCCGGATGGGAGGTCATGGCCTGAAGTGTGAGTTTCTGAGATGCTGGTGTGCAGTACCGTTTTCAGCGACCCCTACCGAGAGGTGTACTACGCACCGAGCCTGACCGATCCTGCCACTGCGGAGGGCGGATCATGGGTTCCTCAGTACTCCACCGGCAACTCCAACAACGTGGTGACCCTCGGACCGATTGGAGCGATTTGACCTGGGGGCCGACGAGGGTCAAGAGATGCTATGCTCCTGAGTGAAACCCTCTGTCAATGAGGGGCCAGCTTCAAGATCGCTGCCAAATCGCCAATTCTCCGCGCAGCACCGAGCTTTTATGGGTGACGGCGGTTTGATGCCTTCTTCGTTTTGCTTGGCGCTTTTTGGTTCAGGGGGACTGCGGGCACATGCCTGCTTGTGGCATAAGTATAAAGAACAGGCAGAACAGGCATCAACGAGCGACCACAGACTTAAGCCTTTAGGCCAAGATGGAACCCCAGTTCGCTTCCGCTGAAGCCCATCTCTGGGCAACCACACCGCCCTTCGATGTGAGGTGCTTCTGCGCGTCGCTGCAGGGATGCGGCTGGCGCCAGCAGGAGGCGTCTCGACTGCGGCTAGCGGAGGGAGTGTGCAGAGCCGTCTTTGACGCCTGCTTTCGGATTCGGGCTTCCAGCCTTATCCTTTGGTCAAGCTGGAGTCGGCAAATTACGGGCTTTATGATCTTAACTTACAGGTGCAAACGAGCAAGTTGGAGTGAATGGTGCTTGTGTGGATTGACATCTAAGGATGGTTCCGCAGCTTGCCAAACGATGGCTGATGGTCTCTTGACCCGAACTCGTGCGAATTGAGGATGTAGAGTAGTGAACTTGCTGGCAGATCCTTGGTGTCGCCCGGACAGGGGTGTTGGCTCACGTGAGGTAGAGAATGTATTGAGTTTCTGTGGCTCGTGGCCAATCCGAGGAGATACAGCCACACCTGTCAGCTGTGCGGCATGCTCGGCCCAAGCCGAGTGCCCACCGCAATGCAGTTCCGCCACCTTCGCTTGCACCTGCGCGGCCTTGCCGGTCAATTGCATGTGGGAGACGCCCGAACAGATTCAGTATGAGCTTTGAAACAGGCACAGTCGCTGTTATGCAGGCCTGCAAATGCAAGGGGGCTCGCAGTCAATCAATCAATCAATCAACCAGCCAGCCAGCAAGCAAGCAAGCCATCAAGCAATCTAGCCGATCAATGTAGCCGTTCTTTGTCAGACCACGATCGGTCAAGTCAGCTAGATCTGAGGAATGGAGAGTGTAAGCCCAGTGGTGGCGGCTCCAGCAGTATTCCCTGCAGTGCCTGCGTTTTGCAGGACACGGAATGTCTCATGGCCTGCTGCTGCTCTTGGTTGTGGAAACACGAAAGCCAAGAGCACGCCCGAAGTGAAACTCGCAGCAGGACACTTGCCAAGCATCCCGGCCACGCGCTGTGGATTTCAATCCGAAGACTCGGAGTTGCAAACACGGCCAGGGCTCGGGGCGGTTTTTCGTGCGTCCCCTCCCTGCCGATCTGAGGAGCATCTTCGCCTTGCCGCGCCAGGGTGACTTGTCGATCATCGACGCTCGGCAGAAACCGACAGAGGCCCCCCCACTTTCGGGGGGCTCCGACCCAAGTCCTTTCCCTCTGTATCAGGTCTGTCGGAGGATGAGTTTTGGTTTGGGGCAGAGAGTTTCACGAAAGGTGACGTTTTTCAGCTTCCCCGCAAAACCAAAGCATTTTGGCACGAGGAGATCACTTTCAACACAGACCTGGGCCCGCTGCGCGCGGCACGGGGCTCCATGCGCTTCGTCTGTGGCACGGAGGGCCGTGAGCCGACCCGGACCGCATCTTTTTGGTTTGCAAGTCGATATGCTGCTCAGATCTTCAGGCCGTTCGGGCCCCACAGAAGTGTTGAGACTCTTGAAGCTTTGCCAGGACTGGTGTCACTCTATTGGAGTACACAGTCCCTGCCTTGGCTTTCCGTGATGCCTTGAACTGCTTCCAAAACTGCACTCGCCGCGCTCTGCCAGGTTCCTAGCGAAGGTATGGCGGTGGAAGGAAACGTGCTCAAGGTGGCATCTGGGACGGTCTTTGTGGCAGAA